ACTGCGGCTGGTTTTTTAAGGGGCGACCTGATCTAGAATTTTGAGGCAGTGATCATTAAATGAGTTGGTAAGGAGCTCTATGTCATCAGAGGAAGGAGGTACAAAGTCAAAGAGGGAGGAGAAATTTAAGAGCCACTTTTGGACAGATCACACCGCACCCCCCAGCCCACCCCAAAAACGGGGGAGCGACCAAGAGCCATTATCTGCAAATTCCACTATTATAATGATTGTGCTGACATTCATCACGTATAATGGTACTGAGAAAAACTTCACATTCGCAGAAGAAATACATCAGAAGTATGACGACTCCTGGCTGAGCTTCTTGGTAGGTGCTTAGACCATTGTGGCTATTTTTTGTTGTTGTTGTTGCATCCCAAACCACTTCCACATTGTTATTAATCAGTGTTTTTTCTTATTCTGTACGAAATAGATAACCATATACCCCGGGGGGTGGGGTGGGGGGGTGGGGGGGTGGGGGGGGGTCCAATTTTATTATTACTATTATTATTATTATTATTATTATTATTATTATTATTATTATTATTATTATTATTTATTACTATTATTATTTATTACTATTATTATTTATTTATGTATGTATGCATTTATATATATAATGATTTTTTTTCTCTCTCTTCTTTGCTCCTTCATGGCTATTGTCATTATTATTCCTATTACTTACGGGTTCATTCAAATACAATTGTTAGCCTAATCAATAGTATACAGATATGTATTTTTGGGGTTTTTTTTTCTCCTTACATGCGTATACACTGTCATTGGTAGCCAATTGGTAGCCAATCCCTTCTCTATTATCACTTTAGGTGAATGCTACAGAGAATCAACTGCGCCAGAGCTGCAGCTTGGTGTTCCAAACACAAAGATGAACATAACATCGGTCTGACCTGAAGACCTAATCTATGTGAACACACTGCACAGGAATTTAATTTAATTTAATTAGGAAACAAGCCAATTTTTTTCCAGGAGGCAACATCAAAAATGATTAGATGTTGGACTTTCTGGGATGAAAGTCATATTTGATTATGTAATGAATTTTGGTGGGTTTCTGGTAACAAATTTTTTCTCTGCGGACTGACACGTGCCCTCTAACTGTGAACTAATCACATCAGAACAGGGTGGCGCAGCAGTTCCTGACAGTGGCCCATGGTCAAACACGCTTTATGAAATCAGCAAGAAGCAACACAACGTCTTTCTGGGACTTCCTGACTCCTGCTGCAGAAGCCACCTGAAACCTCCCATTGCCCCCTCCAGGCACAAACTCATCAAAAGCTCCAATTTGTTTTTTTCACTTTACCAGATGTTTGAATATTTAAACGATTCAGTGTGTAGCAGCCAGAAAGGGTCAATTTTCACCTATATATGGATTTACATAGTGATTGGCCATCTACAGAAATAATTCCATCTTCTAGGTGGATTTTATATTCTATCTTCTAACACCCAGAAGATTCTGCAGTGCTTGTTGACAGTCCATGAGGACAAGATTGTCAGCCTATGTCTCCAAACAAGGCTTTCCTCTGATAAGACTGCAGGATTCCACTCTGAATGAAAAGTGAACTTTTACAACTCATAAGTTAAATAATCATAAATAATCATATGGTTGAATGAACCAAATGTTATTTGAAATGTTTGAATAATCCGTGCCTAATTTAGTGAAATTTAAATTAATGTTGTCTTACAATGACCCATTTACATCTTATGATCAGTAATGTTTGATTTAACAAGTGAATCATTATCTACACTCATACACAATGTTCATTAGATGCAAATTAAGGTTAAGGTCACATCACATAGGTTTAACGATTCTTTATCCATAGAACAAGAACAGCTCGTATCTGGAAGATGTGGTTTCTGAGGGATGTTTGGTAAAGCCTACAACATGTCAAATTCTGATTCACAGAAATGATAAACTCTAGATTATTACAACTAGAGTGACTGCCGAGCCACTCAGTTTCCAGCTGACACCTCGATTTGGCCAAATCGAGAAAGAATCCATTTTGAAACAACTTCCTTTGACCTTAAGTCAAAACCTTGCCATGATGCTGCAAGTGACACAACAGCTCTTTTCAGAGCTACTGCATCTCTCAGACATCCATCTTAGACGCAACGAACCTTTATGCATGTCATGACCGGGAGACATCCCTGGACTGGAACTGGTCGCAACGCGGTTAATCTACGAACTTCGGTGCCTTGAGGCCCACCCAACTTCCTGACATTTCGTATCCGCAAAGGGGGTCTTCATCAGGGTTCGTAGACACAACAGATTGGGTCTGATGTTGTTTTATTAATAATCAACTCTCTAGTTTATAGCAGACCATAAAGTCTTTTACATCCAGAATTCACGATCTCTTTCAGATACAAAGGATCTAATAACCAGCACTACACATACACTCCATCTCACACATACACTCCATCTCACACATACACTCCATCACATATCATTGTTTATAGCTTGTCATGTATTGTAATTAGTTTAGAAAATAAAGTTTATTTTTAACTATATACTTGACTCTGTTTGAATTAATACAAAATGTGTTTATGGTCCCTGAACAAGCAAAGAATCCTAAATTCTTCTGGTTAAACATTCAAAGATCAATCAGGTTGATCATATTTATATGGAATATCAAATCTCATTGTTCATAATTAAATATGCAGTCGTTACGCTAAAGCCTGATGCTACAAGTGAAAGTGGAAGACAGCAGTTTTTTTACACCCAACATGTCAGCACAGAGTCTGTACTTGGACACTGGTCATCATAGAGTTGGGGTCAGAGGTCATTATGCCTCTTCTGTTGTTCAGAAGGCAGACGTCTTTTAGCTCATGTTGTGGTACAAAAATGATGGCTCGCTGCACCAACAGAGAGACTTTATCAGCACCACCAGTCCTCACAGATTCTGTTTCTTTATTTAAAAGTCAGGGTTTCAAATGTTTAGACACAATTGATATTAAATAAATCAGCTTTGCAAATAATGTGTTTAATGACCATTCCTGATTTAAGCACAGGGCCGGTTGGTTTGGATTGACTGTTTCCCCCCTAATAAATTAAAGTAAGTGGAGACTGAACCGAGGTTATCTGTCTAGTGTGGACTGATCTGAAACAGGCACGCCTCTTTTACACAGAAGTTCCAAAGACCAGCAGTCAGTTTCCACATGAAGTCTATTTTCCAGACACCTCATGTGTTTTGTCATGAAATTAAAGAAATTACATGAGAAATGACAGGAAGTCAGATCTGTAAAAATCTTATTTTGATATTTCGAAATAATATCTATTTACTGGTTTTATATCATTAATGACAGGTAAATCCGTGCGCAGTTTATGATAGTTCATGGCCGATCCTATTCAGTGAATTATTTTCAGCCAGTAAGAAAAAAAACGTTTGAGGAATTTTGGCCTTTTCAGGCTTCCGTACCAGTAACCTGGTTACGGAGGAGGGATTTGTGTCAAAAAAAGGAATTAAAACATTAGGATTCCGCCAAACCAACTAATGTAGGAGAGCGGCGTGTGAGCGAGTCACCACGGTAGCCCGGCTCAGTAGCGAGCGATCTGTGGCTGATAAATTGTAAAATGGTAAATGGCCTGTATTTGATATAGCACCTTCATTTATCACACACACATATTCACACCCTAGTGATGATGAGCTACGATGTAGCTACAGCTGCCCTGGGACGTACTGAGGCGAGGCTGCCGAGCACCAGCGCCACCGGTCCTGCCAAACACCACAAGCAGGAAAGTGGGGTTAAGTGTCTTGCTCAAGGAGCACCAGCGCTGATTCAGCATGAGATATTGGAGGTGTGGCATGAAAGCACGTGAAGAGGGTGAAAGGCATGTCTCATGCTCAATGCATGAGAGTTGGCAACCCTGTGCAAGACACTGGCGTGTTCGAGAGGAGTTAGTTCAGAGCAGATGAGATCACCGGTGATCGCCCAGTACATGCCGGTTAGATTTGTGTCTGACTTGACGCCGACTTGCTCTGACGTCAGGCAACGATAACCTTGTGAGATCAAGGCAGCCGCAGATTTTGGAGCAAGGCGCTGCAGTTGCTCTCCACCGGCTGCAAAACCTAGGGCGTGACGGGAAACGCCTGGCTCTCACCTGATCTAAGATCTGATTGGTTCACATTCTGATCCAAACATCCGGTGGTAGAACAGGAAATGTTAGTTGGTCACGTGTATTCTGTAAATCATGTTACCTTGATGATTACAACTCTATGGGCCATAAAGAGAAATGTGATTTGTTTCCTATACGCACACTAGAACTCTACAGCTGCTAACCATTACTTATTATTAGAGTCATGTCTTCATATACAACATATTATATCCACAAATAGGTGAGGATGTGCTTCGGTTGCTAACAGGCACCAGAATTAAAATAAATTATTAAACAAGTATGAACGCTAACGCGATATCTTCATCAATTATCACCCATAAGCTTCATGTAGAGAAAACTGTTCGACTTGAATGCCGGCTTTCAGCCACTCCCTCTGCTGCGCCCGTCTGCTCTCGTCTCTTTTCCAAGCGAGGCGCTGCTCATCCCGAACAAGGCCATCGCCTTGCGAGGCCACGTGTCTTGATATTGAGAACCACCCACAGTCTCACTCGTTTTGTCACCTGCCCCTGCTGGCTACTTGCATATTGCAGCTTGCAAACACATCAACGTTTCAAACGGACTCTAATTATACGAGGCAGCCATGATAAACATGTGTATGCATGATTTAAACCAAGTATATTCCAGCTCCTCTGCGTTCCCACCAGGGGGTTAAGAACATCACCATTTCTTTGGGTAGTGGGTTCATAATGTTTTAAAAAGGTTGATTTAAAATAAATATGCTAAAATCTGCATGTTGAGTTATAAACAGGAGAAAATCATAAGGGGGAGACACTTGTCACAGTGAGGGTGGGGGAGTTACAGAATTGTATAATATAACGGCATTTTTAAGCTGTTTGAATGATAATGAACTAATTACATAGCACAGATCATGTGTTACCTTCATAGACAGCTTTGAATCCCTGCCCGCTGACTGCATAGTCAGACAGCAGCCACAAGGTGAGCCTGGAGCCGGTACTCACAACGGGTGAAGGCAGCTGGAAGCCAGTTAACCTGAGAACAAATGAAGAAGATGGACAATAATGGTCAAATGAGTGCCAACGGGCAGCACAGGCCAGAGCGGGTTCAGATGTGAGCTTCTGCCTCCACTCAGCCAGCTGTTCCCATGGGCATCACACATAAGGTGTGTGTGTGTGTGTGTGTGTGTGTGTGTGTGTGTGTGTGTGTGTGTGTGTGTGTGTGTGTGTGTGTGTGTGTGTGTGTGTGCTGTTAAAATCTCTAACAACCTCATAACATGTCAACACTTAACATGACAGGAGACACTTATATTTTGGTTTTCAGAAACACTGCAGACAGGTACGGTGGATGGCAGGGACCAGTAGACAGGCAGACAGACAGGCAGCAGTCACATCCATGTCAGATCAGACTAAACAGCATTTCTAGGAATGCTTTGATTGTTTATGTGAAATTAAGCAGGAATATTTCAGGAAAAGAGTTTTCTCTCTTTAAAAGGAACATTTCACACCGTTCCACGCGTTTAAAAAAGTGTTTCCACTTCTAGCGAACCTCAGCTCTGCAGAGCCAAAGAAAAGGTGTCAAATGCATCTTTCAGGTTCAGGATAAAAATATTTTCTAATTCATATTTCAAATGTTTAGATTAAACTTGGAACAAGAATGTCTTCCTAACCTGCAAACAGAAAGCATTACCAACATTTTATAAATTGGATGGAACATTTTGGATCTTTTAACTTTTATTTTAAAACGATAAACACTTGTGCCAGGATAAGGCTCCTTAGGGTTGTGAGTATCTCTGTAAAAAGACATCAAATACTGAGGCAGCTCCAAGTTTAGGTGAAAACGCGGTAAATGGATGCATTCTGTTTGCCAGCAGTATATATTAGTTATGTACGCTGGTTGATGTTGAGGCCAAGATGCCCAGGTGCACATGATGCAGAGACACCCCCAGACCAAAGGCTGCTGCAGCCCAGCCATAGGCATGCACATGTAGCATTTATCACATAAAAGTGTGAACATCCATGGTCTGTGTTGGATGTCAATTATTCGAAGCAAGCAAACAAAAAGTAATTTGTGTGTTCGTGAACACGTAATCATTTTGATTGCTGAGGCTGGTTCACATGAGTGAGTCTTATTAAAGGGATTTAGGTATTTTCATCATTTTAAGACAATAAAAGGTTACTTCTGAGGAGATGCACACTTTTAGGCAAAGTGGATGAAAGCTGTTATGACTGGAGCAAAGACACCTGACCAGGTGTAGCTAATTAGTCAATGTAACGTCCAGCAATGGTCAGTTTTTAGGTACAGTTTGACCATTCAACATCTGGTCAAAATGGAGACACGAGCCTGCATGTGTTCCCTTTAAATCAGCCTGCCTTCATCCCATCAGCTGGAGCTCAGAGCCTCTCTGCAGCTCTGAACACATGATAATGAATCGTCAACAATGATGTTCTCTCAAGGTCCAAGCTTCCCTTATTGTCCTACAGGATTCTTCATGCCTCTGAATAAGGAACATTCGCAGCCTGGATTAGTTGCTAAATCAAAGAATGAGTTCTTAAATAAAATATGAACTTATAAAATTTATAAGCTGGATAATCTGTCACGTTGAGCCAGGAGGAGGTTAGGACCCAAGACGCAGAAACCCAGAACGGCACAAGGCAGCAGCGTAGTAAAACGTAAAATCCTTTATTAGGAGTCGATGTCCAAAAATCCAAAAATCCAAGAAGGGGCATGAAGCCCAGATCCAAATGTCCAAAAATCCAAAAGAGCATTTCCCAAGAGACCTAGAGAAAAAAACCAAATACCTGGAGACCAGGAGACCAAGAGGGGGGAGCGAGACAACGCTGACAAAAACAAAAAGCTCCTAGATAAGCAAAACCTAGAGTTTCACGAGGTGGAACAGAATCAGAATCAGAAAAGCTTTATTGCCAGTGCTCCAGCGTCCCGAAGCATAGGAATTTGACTCCGCAGCACAGCCTGACCGAGGTTACACACACACATGTAGACAAAACAGATACAGGCAGACCACGAGAGCAGCCATGAACGGAGCTCATTTCATTTAGATGAAAAGGGAATTACATGAAGATAAATTGGGGGAGGGGAAAAAAAGGCATACCAGAGTTACTCTCGACAGGGCGTAGCTTTGCTATGCAAAAAAACACCTCAAACATATAAGCACGAATATCAACAGTTAACAACATGAGACTCCAATAGGAAGGTGAGGGGGCTGGGATCCTGTTTACCCCAGCGAAAGCAGCCATCTGGCGCTCATCTACTGTACAGTCACAGGTGGAAGGGAGATCTTGGGAGAAGCGAAGAGCACATTGACTCCTCCAGCTGATGACCTTGCCAGGCTGAAGTCCACCAACCCGAAGGCGGGGGGGGGGGTAGGTCGGGTTTTCACAGCATCTGTCTGCATTCCTTCGTGGGGGTTTTAGTTGCTTGCAGCTCAAGGCTACCAGGGCGTCAGATTCAGATAACAAGAGTTTGTTTGGGTCAGGCTGAGATCATTTTCCTCTCTGCCTTCAGTCTTTAACCCTTTGATGCATAATAGTCACTACAGTGGACAGGTACTCAAAATTGTTATTTATTTGTTTTTGCTATTAAGCACAGCTGTTGAAGACTTTATTGCATTTGAGCCCCTCCATTTGGACTTCAGTAAGCCAAGCCAACATATTTCATGCTCAGAATGCACGCTGTCCATCAAGGTGGACGTGTAATAAATTATTTGTAAATTATAAACTTTAACAAAAAATGTTTGTTGAAATTTGTTTCATTCACACCTAAAGATGAATGAAAAAAATTGTTAAAAAAATCGCGGTTGAAGATTTCATAATTCATGCATCAAAGGGTTAAACTGATCATTCCAGTCCTTCAGTGAAGCCAATTTTGGGTTCTTAAACCTGTCCATACCGTCCGGTGACTCTCTCCGAGATGACATCCATTTTGCGCACTAATACCGGTATCACAGCTAGAACATTGTCCAGCTTACGATTCACCTCGAATGACGTCCCAGTCTGAAAAGTCTCTACATGGACGGTGCTTTCCGTGGGTGCGGGTCGCCCTCCAATTGCTCCCGTCTTCCCAAATTTCCAGAAAACCAGATATCCTCCCACTCCAATCAGGAGAAATCCAGTGACCAAATATCCACACGTCTTTGATGTCCTCAATGGACAGCTGGCAGAGGCATATGATCTTCCACTCCTTCCAGGAATCCAAAATATATCCCACTGGGTGCGTCCCCTGTGGACGTGTGGGAGCCCCCTGCTCTGTTGTCATTGTTGAAAAAATCTTATCGATCACATTGAATGACCAATTTATCAAATCCATGGTTAGTAAAAATAGAGTTTTTCAGAAGAAATGCAGAGAAGTGCTCTGTGGGCAGACAGGACAAAGAGCCTTGGGAAAAAAAGATAAGGGAGCGAAAGAGGGAAGCGTCTGTACTCCTCGAGTGCCAGTGGAAGAGTGAAACAACACTGAATACGACAATGGACAGACAAAAAATAAGACACGGGGCTGGGTGATAGCAGACAAGGAGCAGGTGTGTGGGGAATGGGGCACAGGTGAAACTAATGAACTGAGGGAAGAAGCAGAAATAAGCAGGGGAGAAAACAATATCTAAATCCTAAACCAAAGCTACTAAAATAACCAGAACTTTAAACACTGTAGAACAAAGACTAAAGATAAAAAAACTAGTGATAAGTGAAGTGACTAAAGGGAAACCTGAAGAAGCTGGGGACCAAAAGGGGGCACAGAAGATTGGGTACACATGAGGGAACCTGGAGGGGGCTGGGGACCACAGGGACACAGAACATGACATAATCATTAAATAAACATTTGTTTATTGCTACTTAAAAATATATATATAATATAATGAAATGCTTTCATTAATCTGTGTTTGAGTGATTGAAGTTTGAAATGAATGTTATGTTATGATTACAATGATTGATATATGTTTCAGCATGTTGATCTGACAAGGTCATCACCATTTGTACTCACACAAGGACTAAGCAAAGTTAAGTTAAACATGTGACACATAGATAGCCCATTACCCCAGATCAGAGCATCCGGATCAAAGAAGACGTGTTTCTGAGTTGTCTTGGTAGTATTCCTCAACTTGTCAACCTCTGGTTGGCTACACAAATCTTAACGTGAGAACATTAGAACTGGATCGCTCTGGTGATTCATCAGTTCTTGAGAAAGCTTCAGACCGGCCATCTGAAGCAAAACCTCTTTAACCATCAAAGCTTTTGACACGTCGTCAAAATCTTTTTGCACCTGCGAAGCTGAAACAGCAACAGTTCCTGCAGAACAAGCTGATATTGTTTAGACTCCTTAAAGAGTCCCAGATACGTGGTTCCATCCATCTGTTGTGACCCGGAGACAACTCTAACCCCCAAATTCCACTACCTCCGCTCCGCTCCGACACGAACGCTGGAGCAAAATCGGTCCCGTTGTAGTCAATCAGAGCTATTCCACTACTGCGGCCGTGCTCCGGCAGTGCGGCGCCGTGCGCCGCCCTCTGTTCCGGCGTCCGGCAAAAATAGAATCGATCCTATTTTTGCCGGACGCCGGAGCACCTCCGCAGTAAATGGACAGAAATCACAATGGCCCAACAGGAAAAGGACCAAGCACAATTTCCGTTTTTCACAATAAATCGATAAACAAAAGGCGTTTTTTGTTTCATATGCACAGGTTTAACAACTTTTAACAACTATCAATGGCGGCTGAAGTTTAAATGCACAAAAATAAGCCATAAATACAGTTTCTACTATCAAAGTAGTCACACTTTGTTGATCCAAACACTGCTGATCTCTCAACACAAATGATGGGCAGATTAAACAGTTCATGCCGATGCTTCTCCCACACAACGGGTGTTTGGATCTAACTTCCGCGTTTATTGCTCGGACTGTATCGCAAGATCTCGAAAATCCCGCGCATGCTTGTTTGCCCACTTCAGGTCTCCACACCGGAGCGGAGCCGTTGTAGAGCGGGTAGCAGTAAAAATTGAGTTCGGAAGCGAGCGGCTGCGGAAGGCG